ATTTCAGTCAAACAGCACTCCAAATTAGAGATGACAAGTTACAGTCAAATAATGGACTGCCCACAGTGAGTATAGATCATCCACAATACACCAGCCAGGATATATTAAAAACAAACTTCCATCCAAGTCTTTATTTCTGTCCAGAACCTACTGCCACGTGCACTCTGGGAAACATTTACCAAAGCCCAAAATAAGATGGTATGTGCAATAAAATATCAATCAACGACTGGTGCATGAAAAACACCTCGCCTAGTCAGTCTCTACTGTTTTCCCTGGCTAAAACCCATAATTCCATGCTGAAGCTGTAGTAGATCAGGCCCTCAGAGTGTTTCCCCATCTGTAGATGCTGTACAGACCAGCAAAGGACGTTTGGCTACAGCATTTACAGAAGATGCCTCTGCCTTAGGTCAAGCTAGCTCAAACCCCCAAATATGTTTCTAATAGAAAAAGGAAAAGTCTATGACTGGTCCATTGCACTTGGTGTAGGTCCCGTCTGAACTGGAACAGGTAACTGGTGGAAATGTTCAATCGCTTGGGCGACCTTCTCTGGGCAGATGTTGTAAACTGGATGAGTTGGTGCCTGGATAGAAGAAATATGAGAACATTTAGTTAGTATTAGTACATTAATCTCAATTTGAGTTGGTTCAACTGAATTTTCAGTATCTCTCACCAGTCTGTTCTCGTCCCGACCGAGGATCAGCTCGTTGTGGAGGTCTTTGTTTCCAAAATGCTGTGCTACTGAGAGTCCGCTCAGACAGTAGCACGTGTGGTAGAAATCTCTAGACCTGTGGGGAATCAGTGAGGAACTATTATGAAAGTCTAGTTTAGTCTGCATAGTTAGTAAAAACACAGATTTTTTCAGATTTTAAAGTTTAGTTTGATCCACAAGGTTAAATAAGACAGATGTAAAGGCCTACAACAGGCCAATGGTTTTTCCATGACCTTTCCAGGTAGATGTTTGTGGTTTTGTTCGTTACGGCAATAGGATATTTACAAATCATTAAAAGTCCTGTTTGGGATTCATTCAAAAGAATGATTCACTCACAAATTTGACATCACGACAGAGTTTCACTCCACACAAACTCTAGAGGAGCATTCATCTAGCTGATGAAATGTTTTAGAGCAGAGCAGAACTAGAAAATGCATTTTCATGATAAAAATTTACATGCCTTATGACTGAAGTATATAATAATCTAAACTTCATAAATACATTTTCTCCTCCAAGAAAATACAACAAAATTAGTATATACTTAATTTTACTGGTATCATGATTTATGATTTATAAAACAAGCTAAAAAAA